TGATTTATTTTAGTAGAAACAAGGTTGTACTAGTATGACAGAGACTAAGGATTCAATAGTGAACACAATAGAAATAAAATTTGGTAATCTATAGTCCAGTGGAGATGACCAACATCACAAATGTCAAATTTAAATAATGAATTTTCAATAATTCCAAGCTCTCTGAGAGCCTAGGGAGGGAGATCTCATCAGAACAGGGATATTAGAACCTCGGCACTCAAGAGGTTGGGGCAGGAAGATCAATGCAAGTTTGAAGCCAGCCTGGGCTACACAGTGAGTTTGAGGCCTGTCTCAACTGCCTGTCTCAAAACAAAAAAGACAGAAAAGGATTCCCAGAGGAAGGGACCTCTTGACCTAACCTTGATATTTACAGGATAAATAGCTCTTACCCAAGGAAAAGGGAGCAAAAGTAATCCCTGCAAAAACACAACAAACAAACAAAAACAGCTCAAGCCAGGCAGTGGTACACACCTGTAATCCCAGTATTCAGGGGCCTAAGGCAAGAGCATTGCCATGAGTTCAAGGCCAGCCTCAACTACACAGTGAGACCCTGTCTGAAACACACACGCACATGCGCACACACACACACATACACACACATGCACGGGCACACACACACACACAGTACAGAGCACAAAGGCCCTGTGATAGAAAGGAACATGTTGAGCATGAAGCACTTCTTTTAAGAAATCCCTCAATGTGCTTGAAATGCACACACACACAAAGAGGCTGCATAATATAGAATGAAACTGCAGAAGGTAAGAGGGTGCTCTTAGAGACCACAACAGGCTCTGGAGTCACAAAAGAGTCAGAGTAGGCATATGCTTGGATTTGCATTTTATAAAGATGATTCTCACTACAATGTGGACAGCCAGGAATGGTGGTGCACGCCTGTAATCCACGCACTTGTGGGGCTGAGGCAGGAGGATCACCCCAAGCTCAAGGCCAGCCTGGACTACGTAGTGAGACCCTGTCTCACAAAAAGGCAAGACCAAACAAAAACTACAACGTGGAGAATGACTTGAAAGGAGGTCAACCATTAACAATTAACAGTTATCGGGCTGGGGATTTAGCTCAGTGGCAAAGCGCCTGCCTGGCAAGTGCAAGGTCCTGAGTTCGGTTCCTGGTACCGGAAAAAAAAAAAAAAAAAAAAAAAAAAAAAAAAAAAAAAAAAAAAAAAAAATCACACACAAAACAAAACAAATAACAAGACCTGTTAAGGTTTGACTAATGGAATAGCATGTAAACAGTTATCAACTGGGGAGGTGTTATTCTACATTAGGGAAGTGAAGTCCATAGGTAAATTTAAAAAAAGACTACAGCATAGGGAAGTTGAATAGCTTTGAGAAGTATTCAGATAAATAAGTCTACATAATCAGTTAGGCATAGGAAGTGCATTAGTTATTTATTGCTATGTAAAAATTACCAGTACTTAGCAATTTCTTAGTAAGGAATATTTATCTTATATTATCTGTGGAACAGGAATCAAGATATGATTTAGTCATAGGGCTACAATCAGAGTGTTAACCAGGGATGCAGTCACATCAGAATTTGATCAGGGAAGGACTCAATGTCAAGGTGGTTCCTATGGTCACTGGTAGGCACCATCACCTCATTGACGGTTGGCTGGAGACATCAGTTCTTTGCCATGTGGATCCATCCATGGGGCTACTTATAACACAGCAGCTCATTTCCATTAGAGAAAAGAGAGGGGGAGAGAGAAAAGGAGAGAGAGAGAAAGAGAGAGAGAGAGAGGGAGGGAGAGACTGACCAGAGGGAGTAAAAGAAGCAAGCAAAAGGTCACAATCTTTTTATAACCCAATCTCAGGACATCTCAGCATTTGCATCACGTTAGAAGTGAGTCATTAGGTCCCACAAGGGGAGAAGTTTACCAAAGGACACAGACACTAGACTTTGGGACCACCAGTGGTCATATTTGAGGCTACCTACCTTAGGAAGTGAGAGAGAGGAGCACTGTGATATTAGTTAGTGAGACTGAGAAGGAGGGAAAAGGACCAAGTTTGAAGAAAAGTTTCATTTGGACATGAGAAGTATAAAAAGGGCAAGGGGGTGTGTCTTAGTTACTTTTCTCATTGCTGAGACAAAATATCTGACACCCAAAGTTAAGGGAGGAAAGGTTTATTTTGCTCCCAGTTTGTACAGGTCTCAGTTTGTAGTTGGCTGGCTCCGGAGCACTGTGGCACGGCAGACTGGCATCACAGATGAGAAACAGTTCATGACGGGCAAAAGGCAGCAAAAGCAGCAAGAGGCAAGCAGCCACACCAAGCCTCTTCCTGTCTCATATATTTTCCCCAGGCTACACGCCCTTAGGACAGGTAGCACTCACATCTGAAGTAGCGGGGAGCACCCTTAGTCCTACCCAGAACTATCCCAAACCAATCAGTGGACTACTTTAGTAATCACACACCCTTGATCACAGCATCACATACTGTAGATCCAGCCACCTCTGAAAAGCCCTCCTCTGACCCCGTGAGTGCTTGGGGGAACACAAGTCATGATAGGGTCTTTCATTAAATCAACAAATATGTATTTATAAAATACCTACTACATGCTAGGCACTACTCTAGAGAATAGAATAAAGCAACAAACACTGAAAAGTCGTTGATTGACCTCACGTCATTTACCTTTTAGGAGCTGAAGATGGAAGCTATACATATTCCATTATGATAATCATAAAGGGTAGAAAGGACATAAAGTAGGGTGGGGTTCACTTCTGTTATAGTATCAATATATGCTTTTTAGGGGTCCACATAGTTTGAAGCCTCAACATGTCCTTTTATGCCTCCTGTACTTTCCTACCTTCTGTCTCCCTTATAGCAATTATCAAAAGATGTTTAGTATGAAGAGTACAAGTGTAATTGCAGTAATCCAAAAATGGCCCCCCAAAAGATATGCACATCAACTCTCTAAACTTCCTTACTTGGAAAAGGTGTCTTTAGGGGTATTAAAGATCTTAGAGAGCTTACACTGGATTACACAAGTGGCCCCTACACGTCATCACAAGTCTGCTTATATGAGACACACAGAAAAGATGCACGTGGAGGGGCGGCAACATGATCACAGATGCAGAGGACTAGAGACATGAAGCCACAAGTCAAGGGATGACAACCAACACCAGAAGCTGGCAAAGCCAAGAATGGATTGTCCCCTAGAGCCTCCAGAGAAAGGACAGCCCTGCAGACACCTTGATTTGGGACATCTGCCCTGGAAAACTGCGAGAGAATAATTTTTCACTGTTTTAATCTACTCAGCTTGTAGTAATTTGCTACAAAAGGTACAGGAAACTACGCTATTCTTCCGATGTTTTTCCTTGTCACTGCATTCATACTGTTTATTACAAGTTGTAATTATTTGCCTGTTCATTCATTGTCTTTATCCTGTTAGCACAGTATCTGAAACATACAATGTTCCTAGGAACTATGGGTTAAGTGAATGAGTTGATAAATGTTGCCCATAAATAAAAAATCTTGTAAGACATAGATCATGTCTATTGATCACTATTCCCAAAGCTCCAGAACAGAGCTTTGCAAAAAACCATCACTTTACTACGTTTGAACTCTAAGAGTCAGGAAATCTATATTCTAGACACTACAATTTATAGCTGTGAGACGGACCCCCTACTAGAATAGCCTAGAGAGTGTTCAAACAGGTTTGTCCCTTTCTGTTTTAGTACGACTAAGGAACAGGCCCAGATAGCATTCGTTTTTGTCCCATACCTGACCCATGGTGCTTGACATAAGGTAGGGACAACAAATATTTGAGGCTTTGGAGGAAGTAGCATAGTATCAGGGTTCAGACCCAGCCATAACTGAAATTCCGCACTGCGTCCTTGAAAAATTCTTAACTCTGAATTCCCAAATCCCTAATAGAGAGGAAGCTAATCCATACCTCACAGGTTTGTTAACCGTGAATCCCTTGGACCACAGTACGAAACCCACGGGTTACTTGTATCTAATCAGTACTAATCCTGTGCCACTGACCTAACTCAGCCAGGGGTACAGCATCAGACAAGAGCTCCCAATCAGTACTTATGATCCAAACGACCTTCAGCAAGCTAATTAATCTTTCCGCGCCCCAGTTCCTTACCCAAAAGCTGGCAACATTACCTCCCGCGTAGAGCGGTTCTGATATGGAAACTAAATGTGGTAACCAAATAGTTACACTTAGGACAGTGCCTGTCCCAAAACAAGTTATTATTCTGAGCAAAACAAAACAAAACAACTGGCTTTCCAAAGTGCGCGGTGATCTTCGGCAAGTATTTCCACTTCTTAGGGCCATCTCAAACAATTAAAAAGTCCAGAAGACCTTATTACTGGCTTAAAAAGCCCTATTTCGGGAACCCATGAACCAAAGGCCACCCGAGGAGCTCATTATTCCAAGGCTCCATATCCTTCAGCCACGTACTAGTCATGTTTACAACCAGGAGAGATCAGACCGAAGTGACAAAACTCCGGAAAAGTCCCCTATGTGAAGTCCCCTCAACGCTAAGTTTCAGCTTTCTAGCTGACACAAGTTGCTCTCTGCAGAGAGCGCGGGTCACGGTGGCAAGCAAAAGCTTCCCTCGGCGGCCCTGGGTTGCC